TGAAGGGGTAATGTTTATAATAAATAATAGTTATAGCTATAACCAATGAGTGAGAGCAAGCAAGCAAAAATAAGGGTTAGGCGTAAAAGAGCATATAGTTATTGTGTTGGGGCCACATACCTGAAATTGCTTAGGGCCCCCAAATCACTAAGTCCGCCAAACATTTGAACAGTATGTTGCTAAAGTCTTGAACTACTGTAAATTATAAATAGCTTATGTTTCCAACACCGGTGTATTATCATTTAATGGTTCTTGTCATTGATGTAGTGCATATTCTTTTTGCTTATGGTGTTAATGTATGGGAACATATTGTTTTTATATTACCAGGAGAGCTGTTGCAAAAGAGACTTCCTGTTCTTAAATGTTTATGTGGCTCTGAATCTGAGAATGTGGACAGGAATCGTGGGCAGAGCTGTAATTAGCCCAAGCATGGAGACAAAAGAGACCAGGTTTGCACTCGACATCACCGGCAGCAGCACGACGTGTATTTATCTGACTGCATACAAACAGATTCATGGACTCTGTGACTTCAGGGAACAAATATTTCCTACTTAGTAGGAGGATGGCGTCTAATCTTATTGGTTCCAGGAAGACTATTGCTTTGAGTGACAGCACTTACGCCACGTGAGGTCAGTTCTGGGACATACTGCTGTTGATGATGCGCTTAAATATAGAGGCAGCCTGACACCTAAATCTGAAGTTTAACTTGTATTAAAAGACAAATTTGAATCATGCTGTGAAAAACCATGCTGCTGCATTTAGAAATCTTCAGTTCTGCTCTTTTATTGTTGCCTGTTATTTCTCATTTCATTCCCTGATGTGAATAGGCCAAGTATGTCTGTCAATTTCAGATGCTGGAGTCCTGCTGTGACTTATTGAAGCCGTGTTCTGTGAACTGTACTGACCACACGTTTGATTGTTAGAAACTTCTCACCTGACTGCTATGAAGGAAGAAAACGCCTCTGAAAGAGGAACGATTATGTCCATTGTATTAGCACTCACTGTTACACAATACGTCCATATTTCGAACTGTTATTCTTTTGAAAATCAAATCTGAATTTAGTGAATTTAACAGGTTGTGTTACTCACATCAGTGTGCATTTAATCTGTAAAGATTTTAAAACCAAAATCAACATTGTCAAAATTTACTTCACTTTCTTAATAAATGTCTCTGCTCTTACTGTGCAGGATTCAGTATTCAGATTTTTTTTTTACTATAATTTAATCACTATGTACTAAGATGGAACTTGCTCCTCCTCTTAAATGTCTCCTTTTCAGCTGACATTGCCTGGGTTATTTGTTATTCAATGGTGAACGCAACTATTGTAAGTAATGCATTTTTTTTTGTGCAAAATATTTAAACTGTTATGATACAGAAATTGACTGCAAACTCACATTCAAGTTTGGTTCCATTCTGGTATGGGACACCTACATTTCATTTTTAATCAAATCCTGATGGATAAAATCAAGTACCATCCTATAGTTTTTCCGTTGAATATCCAATTTTGCTTTGATGTGTGGCACAATACAGAAGTAAAATGGGTATGTTGACTCTAATATATCTAGCTCACTTAATGGAAAGGCCATGTATTGTAATTCAGTCCTCTAAGGGAAGTCTGGCAGTGCTATAGAGACCACTAATGGTGTAACGACAAAGGAAAATCTATCATGTCTGTGAAGTTATTATTCGTTCTCTGACCCTGTCACAGTTGCTTAGGGAAACCTCTCTGCTTTCAGATTCAGAGGTTATTGACTTATCGGACGGATTTTTTTAGTGAGGTTCAAACGGATTCTAATTAGGAAGAACTTTTGATATCTGACTGTATATGGGCATCACGGAGAGAGAAAGAGGGAGACCAAAAAGAAAGACAGATATGCTCACGGGCTAATTAACAGTCACAATCGATGCAGAGAATTGGAGACATGGCAGGGTTTTTGTGTGTGTATGCATGAGCGAGATTAAGCAAACGTGTGTCAGTAAATACAGTAGAGAGTGTATGTATATGACTTTGTGTAATTTAATGTGTGTATATCTGCAGTCACACAGTGTGTCGCCATCTCTGGAAGTAGAGTGAGGTCACAGCCCTCCCCTGTGATCTGTGTCTGTGACATTTACAGTGAAACTTGAATATTTCTTTTTCCAAGTTAAAACTTGAAATATATCGATCACTTGAGGTTCATGCTGTCAAGCCTAAACTGTGTTGCTCTTGTAAGAACCAACAGAGCTGTAGTAATCAGATTATGTCTTAAGGAATGAGTTTTGGCCTCCTTTAAAGTTCCCAGCTGGGACAATTGTATTTCCCTCCTCCTTGCACGTCACCACTCTTTCACCCCCAGTCCTTTATATCTGTTTCTTATGTGTTTTATTTCTGTCTCTCTGTCATGAATATCTGCACTTTATGTCTCGCATGTTGTTCTAACTGCAAAGACAAAGCATGCGAGCCGGCTTGTGAGTGTGAGTAAATTGAATGAATGTTGACGGCTCTCAGATTTCTTGAATCTTTTCTTGTGCATTCTGTTCTTTGCTGTGCAGTATTTTAGGATATGAACTAGGTGAATTTATCAAAGCCTATCAATAACATATCCAGACCATGTTTCTCCCTGAAATCAGAAACACATAAGAAACAGGGATAATATATATTCTGTATTAAACTAATATGAATAGTTAGAATTATTACTGGACATATTACTGGAATTAGAATTTGGGGAAAATGTGCTTAATTGGCATGAAAACAATTAAAAATCCATCTTATTGGTTCTAAAATAGGCTTAATTTTATTTATACAACCATTAAATTCTATTTATTACATTTTTTTTTTAATTAGGGCCCCAGCTGGAACATTTAAACATTTGTTTAAATAGATTTGTATATTTATTAAAATACAAATATTATAAATATATGTATTACAATTAAAAATGGTCTTAAATAGACTTCATTTTCTGTGTACAGCATATTATTTCTTATTTCTTTCTTTTAATTAAGGGGAAATGTGAACCTGGACATGTTTTTGTGAGATTTCTCCTAATAACATGCTTTTACGTTGCTTATGTAACCATATAAGTGTACTATTCACCATAATGTCAGAAAAGGAGGTTTTTAGTGAGCTTCTGCATGTGGGCTTGAAACCCTGTGGTTTGGTAATTGACCTGGACATCTTCAAGAGGTCAAATACGGCAGTTAGCCTGGTGACTGCTGTTGCACCCCTGCAGTGCCAAAGTGTGGATTATGCAATGCCTGACTTTAAAATTACACCATTCCCATTTCTTGATCAGTCTTGTATCCAAGTTATAGTCTCATGTTCCTCTTAGACCTCAAAGCCGATTGCTTTTAACAGATTGCTTTTTTAAACTAAAGGAATATGTTGATGAAGACTCACTCAGTATGAATCTCTTCTTTATCACCCCATTCATCATGTCTGTTTGTTGGCGGGTGGCTGAGGGCAGAACAGGTGTTTCTGTGAGGTGCCCATCAGAGAGAAAGCCTTCAGTGACTAAAGCTTAATAGAAATTAAAGGGCAGGCACAAGCCGACAGCACCGAAGCAGATATGTGGGGTCTTAAAGAAGCAACTCTATACAGAGTTTGGTGGATTTTTGTGCATGCTGTCATCTGTTGCGTAAGCCTGTGTACAAATGGGTCTTGAAAGGGCTGTTTTTAGGAAAGGACAACTAGGAACATTGTCCTGCATAGGCCAGCTGTGACAAGGAACTAAATATTCAAGCATTCAGGGGACCAAAGGTAAAGTTTTATTCATTAAATAAACCGTAATTATTGGTCAACCAGTAATGTGAATATAGGGAAATGTATGAATATTTCTGAATATACTGAATATTTCTCAATGTCTTCGGTTGATTAACCTGCTCTACTACTGTATGTTCCTGGCTGTGACCTGGCCCTTGATTTTATTTTGTACTTTTGCTTTCTGTAAATTCATTGTACCTCACACAATATTGTCATATTTCAGATAGTAATAATATTCACCCTAATCAAATCCACATTAACTGTCAATAAGTTTCATTTTGGACATGCTGTGCTAATTACATCGCTTTATATTTAATCTGTCAAGCGTCTTGTTTAGAAGTAAAGGACTTGTGAAACTCAAAACAATTTATGAAATGGTAAAAATGTAAAGGGTAACATGAATGAGTGAATCAATGAATTATAAGGAAAAATAAAACCATTGTTTTTACCAACAAATATGATGTAGAAAGAACCCCTTTAAAATGTGACCACTTGCCTTAACCTGGCATTACTGAGAAATAATCTTGTCCTTTGAACACAGTTCAGTATTTCAGGTATCTGCTTTTATTTTATAGTTGACTCTTTTGATACACTCTCAAAAACGTACAACAGCTGTCACTGGGATGGTACCCTTTCAACAGTTGCATCTTTGAACCTTAATTATACCTAAAGGATGCATTTTACATATTTTTACCATTAGTATCTTCTGAAAGGGTACTGCCCCAGTGACAGCTTTTGTACTTTTTTTTCTGAGAATGTATATACTGAATATAGTGTGTTTTATTGTGTTCACACGACTAAAGTAAAAGTATATGAAAATTTTAGATTTATAATTCACTTTCACATTTAAGAGGATTTACACAGGATTCTATGTTTAAAACCAACATTTCAAACCACTGCTAAAGAAAACACACTTATGTGTAATTGGACCTTTGACTCAAAATCTTATACTTACTGAAATACAGCCCTTGTGCCAACTAGGCTACCCCTATTTCCCTTGTAGCTACTATTACAGAAATTTGACTTTTTTACATTTTCCTTTTATATTTTTGCAATGTCAAGTATTACAATATAACGCCTAAGAGCTAACCTTTTTTCTGTGCAGTGGGGTTGTTGTGCACTCTTGCGCATTTAACGCGCTTGGTGCCGGAGATCCCCAGCGCCTGCCTGTGCGCGTCGGCGCAGTTGCGCATGCGCGGGGATCTCCCCGTGCCCACTGACTTGTAGCTTTGAGCCCAGAGCGCGCGCGGGTGGCACACAGAAGCACCAGGGCAGCCAGCGCGCAACGTTACCATGAGCCTCCCCGCTCCGCCTGCAGAGACTCCACGCGCAGAGAGTGCCCACCTGACGAGAGCAGCGCGACACCCACAGCCGCACGATGCCCGGGGGAAAGAGAGGGCTGGTGGCACCGCAAAACACTTTCCTGGAGAATATCGTCAGACGCTCGAGTGGTGAGGAGCACGCTTATGCTTTCTGAAATGCGTTAGTCACTTGATATTACAGTGACCGTGTTGCTCTGCATTTACATACTGATTAGTCAGTAATTCAAACTAAAAACGTAATTAATATGGAGCTGTTTTGCACAGTTATTTGTATTTTCATATTGCATTTAATATATGAAACATGGACGGTGTGATGGAAAATTTGAATGCTTTAAATTAATAATAACGTATTTTTTCTTTTAGTTTGTTTCATTTATTGTGATTTCTTTCAATGCATTATTTACACCATGATGTTTGTTGTTGAGTTATTGAGGCGTTTTTGAAATAAAATACGAGTTCAATAAAGAAACTTCATGAAGCAGTCTTCATTGCAAATGCACTTTATGTAATCTAATAAAAAATATTAATTTTTCAGTGTGCTGCAGAATTTATATTTTAGAGACAGTATTTATTTAATCTAACGTTTATTTATTATTTATCTAACTCCAAATCTATTTATTATTTTGAGTCAAGTGAATTTAGTTCTTCGATAAAACATAATTAACAAAAAAAATAGTAGAATTTTAACATCCGGAGAAATGTACTAATTCTAATAAACAATAAAACGTTAAGCAGCCGTAATTGAGACAATTTTTGTGTACTGTTAATTATTATAACCTATGCAATTTAATATAATTAGGCATTTCTCGTTCAGTTGACTAAAAAGGCACTCAATGTAATTTCACTCCACATCTCTGCTCCAGCAGCACATCAGGACTGGCATGAAGTCCGTTTCATAGTTTTTAGGGATCTGAGGCAAATTACGGACTGTTGCGTTTGCGACCACTAGAGGGAGCATCATCTCTAATTTCCTGTCACAGTAATGCTGTTTGTGTCTGGTTTCTTTATAGTGCATCAAAAACAACACTTATCTGAGGATTATAGTATATAACACATGATAGTTAAAGTGAGAAAAAATATTTTCAATGTAAATATAATAAGAGGTTTTAAAACATCCCATTCACATTCTGCAGTAAGAAGGACAACATTTTGTAGCTTTGTTTTTCGAGCTTTTGAAGATCTACATTTTATAGAGACTACACCAGATGTTGAAGTAGATCAGTGACAGTAATTTACTGTGAAGCAAAGACTGGGAATGCATTAGTGTGTGTCAGATCACTAATTCCTGCTCCCTCTTTTATTCTTTGTCATCTTCTCTGAACCTTCAGAGACAAGTTTCTTGCTGGGGAACGCTCAGATTGTGGACTGGCCTGTAGTTTATAGTAATGACGGCTTCTGCAAGCTGTCTGGATACCACAGAGCAGAGGTCATGCAGAAAAGCAGCACATGCAGGTGAGTGGCTATACACGTGACAATAGAAATCTGTAGGAATATTGTTACACAGTTGAATAAAAGTTGAATAAAACAACAAAAGAGTTTAAGACTGAAGCTTTAAATTATTTGTTGTGAATCCATGTGGACTCATTCCTACAAAACCAAGAAGTGAAGATGTCATAATCTTGAGGCGTTACATCACTTTGGCTCTGCCTAATGTAGTGGAACATTTAAAACGAATCTTGAAATCTCTGGTACTGTGACATCACTGATTATTCTTTTGTGAACTGATGTAAACGAGTTTGGTATTAGGAATTTAAGTTTAAATAGAAGAAAGTATCTTTTTGGCCAAGCCATGATCTGGCATCGCAGTGGCAAAAAAAAAATCTAATTTCAATAAGTGGCTGTCATAAAGTGCTGAGCCACAGATATACTATACTGTCTTGCAGGTCTTAGAGACTCCATACCACACTTTAAAGCATCTCTTCTTGCCATGCTTACAACGCACAATTTTGTCAAGTCAAGTCACCTTTATTTATATAGCGCTTTTAACAATACAGATTGTGTCAAAGCAACTGAACAGCATTAATTAGGAAAACAGTGTGTCAATAATGCAAAATGACAATAGTAAACACTAATTTTTCAGTTAAAAACAGTTCATCATTGAATTCAGTGATTTTGTGTCATTAATAAACTTTTATCTGTGACTGCAATAATCTCTCTCTGTAGTTTTATGTATGGGGAGCTGACAGACAAGAAGACCATAGAAAAGGTGAGACAGGCCTTTGACAACTATGAGTCCAACTGCTTTGAAGTGCTGCTGTACAGAAAGAACAGTAAGTGAGACTTCAAACAAATGTATGAACACAGGCTAACACTTCTAAAGTTTCTTACTTATGCTGGTGAATGCAGAATATGTCTTTTCGAGGTGTTCTAAACCATAGAAAAACCAAAAATAACTACTAGACATCACACAGAATGGAATATCAGAACAAACCACTTTTGGTGTATTGTATATTAGCGGTCAAAAGTTTGGAATAATTTTTTAATGTTTGAATTTTTTTTAAAGATTTAAAAAAAATGTCTTTGAAAGAAGTCTCTTATGATCAATTCTGCATTTATTTGATAAAAATAACACTGCAGTACAAAACTATTTTCTATTTTAATATACAGTTTTTTAAAATTTAATTTATAAATTTAACATTAAAAATTTAATTTATTCCTATGATGGCAAAGCTGAATTTTCAGCAGCCATTACTTCAGTGTCACATGATCCTTCAGAAATCATTTTAATATGCTTAATTGGTGCTCAGTTATTATTGGTGCTCAATTAATAATTGTAACGGGGCTGACGAGACGTGAGACGTGTGGATCCATAAGTAAAGTTCAGATACTCTTGAATATAGTCCTCGAGCGATCGTGTGCCCTGTTTGAGGGCTAATAACAATGTCTTGCAATGTCCATACCTGGCCAGTATCCACTTGAAAAGCCGCTGGATCCTTGTGTGGCCGAGTATTCTATCAGAAACCGAGAAAACAGACAAGGCAAGGCAAAACAAGGAAACACGGGCAGGAAAACAGGAACTAGGAATAATAACCGGCTAAGCAATACTCGGCAGAGAATGGTTGTTTGAGTGAGTGTTATATAGTGAGTGAGTGATATGAAACAGCTGTGTGCAATCAGTGCAATGAATGATGGGATATGTAGTCCGGGGTGCTATGCAACAGTGTGTAGTGCGAGAGTCAATGAAAATGGAAAGGGTGACCTCTGATGGCTAGCAGACGGAAGTTCATGGACCGGATACGTAACAATAATAATGGTTCTTAACTTATTATTATTATTATCAGTCTTGAAAAAGATTTTGCTGCTTAATATTTTTGTGGAAACTGTGTTTTGTTTTTTCAGTATTCTTTAAAAGTTCAAAAGAACAGCATTTTTCTGAAACAGAAACATTTGTGACATTATAAATGTCATTACTTTTTTTTATCTTACAGACCCCAAACTTTTGAGTGGTATTGTATCACAGTTTCAACAACAACAAAAAAAAAAACTGTTTTCAACATTGCTAAAAAAAGAAATATTTTTGCGCACCAAATCAGCATATTAGAATGATTTCTGAAGAATCATGTGACACTGAAGACTAGAGTAAAGGCTGTGTAAAATTCAGCTTTGCCTGATTAAAAAAAAAATCCAAGAAATCCAAGCCATATTTAGCAACTGGATTATGATAGATCCTTGGAGGTGAGCTCTTTTGACTTGGGCATACAAATGTGCTCATATAAATTTATTGTAATCCAATAAAACACAATATATACTATGGTATATATACTCTATTGTTTTACTTAATACAGGAGCATGTTTTCAATATCATATATTGGTTAGAAGAGTCAATATAAAAAGGTTCTGAACTAGTTTTAAAATGTGGCGCTGTCAGAAATCGTATGATAATGCTTACTTTGACATCTGATCTTGTACAGGAACTCCGGTGTGGTTCTACATGCAGATTGCACCGATCCGAAATGAAAATGACAAAGTGGTTTTGTTCCTGTGTACATTTAAGGACATCACTGTCTTTAAACAGCCTATTGAAGATGAAAGCACCAGGGGTGAGTTTTACATTCACATGCGCACATATAGGCTACACATATATTGCACATAATCCACTTGTAATGTCAATGATTCATTCAAAATAGATTCTCTAAAAGTCAGAGTTTATATTGAACATGTAATGGTAACAGACTGGCCAATCGTGCTTGTTGGGCTTGATTTTGTTATGACAGATAAACACTTCCTCTAATGTGCTTATGTCATATAAATACATATTTGTTTATGATTGGCAAGCGTTGCCAACTTTTTCCTTTTGGCACTCACACACAAGTGTTATTTTCAAGCACTGTGTGTGTGTGTGTGTGTGTGTGTGTGTGTGTGTGTGTGTGTGTGTGTGTGTGTGTGTGTGTGTGTGTGTGTGTGTGTGTGTGTGTGTGTGTGTGTGTGTGTGTGTGTGTGTGTGTGTGTGTGTGTGTGTGTGTGTGTGTGTGTGTGTGTGTGTGAGTTAGTGGGAGCTTGTTTATTAAGCTGAAAAAATTATATAGAGTCTGATTCCAAAACTCCCAATAGTGTTGGCATAGACATTCTGCTTTGGTGTGTGTGGGTGAATTTCATAAAACCTTTTTTTAAACAAGGTCCAGGTCATATTTCACCCCAAAAACAAAAGAAAGAAATAAGAAATTATATGTTTCAAGAAACAAGTGAAGCCTGTTTTTAGGAGCATTATGTTTTGTTTTGTTTTCTATTCAGCTACTACACTATTTTGATGACAATTAAGAGCATTCTTTTCTTTAAAATAAGACAATTACTGTGTTACAGTAATCAATCTCTATTGAGAATAAAGGGGAATTATGTTACAGTAATGAGAATTTTGAGGGAAAATGTCAGAGTGGATTTTGTCACATTTTTTATTATGCTAAATGACTTTGGGTTGAAATGTGATGTGAACATGTTAGCATGAGATTCACCAGTGTGTGTGAGATGAGCTTTACACACATAGGATTAAAAGAGAGAGAGATTTGAAACAGCATTGTAAGATCATTGCAGCAGTGACCGCAAACATTTGTCGCACTTTTACTCATATCTGAGCCACAGAGGACTTATGTTTTGGATTAATGTTTTTGTTGTGTGCTTATACTGTTGAAAAAGGTCAGTAACACTTTAATACTTCTATTCAGCAAGGATGCTTTAAATTGTACAGTTAAAGACTTGCTATGTTACTTGCAATGTTACATTAATCTCCTATTTCAAATAAATGCTGTTCTTTTGAACTTTCCATTCATCAAAAAATACTGAAAAAAGTCACATTTTACACAAAAATATTAACAGCATTGATAATAATAAACAAATCAGCATATTAGAATGATTTCTGAAGCGTCATGTGACACTGAAGACTGGAGTAATGGCTGCTAAAATTCAGCGTTGCCATCACCGGAATAAATTAAAATTTAAAATACATTAAAATAGAAAATTGTTATTTTAAATTACAATAATATTTCACAATATTACTGTTTTTACTATATTTTTGATCAAATAAATGCAGACTTCAAAAATATATATAAAAAAACTTTGCTCGTCTCAAATTGTATTTTTATTTATAATATTAATAAAATTAATCAAATCAATAAACTTAACAAATGACAATGAGCTTGTGAAACTTCTTGTATAAAATGTCAGATTCATGCTTTCATTAAAGCACAAGATGCTCAGTAAAATAATAAAAACAATTTCAGTTCAATTCATTTGTACACAATTTTTATTAATGCAAAATTCTGAATTTAATTCAATTGTGCAGATTCTTTAATAAAAGCACCACAGAATTTAATTGAACTGAAAGACACATGTAATGTATATTATGAACACATTGCATCTGTCTTTCAATTCAGTGTAGCATTTTTTTTAATAAAAAACATGTTTATTTTAGGTTGGACCAAGTTTGCACGTTTGACTCGAGCGTTGACGACCAGCAAAAGCACCATTCAGCAGCTCACGCCCATGAGCAGAACTGACATCACTTCACACAAACACTCCAGACTCGCAGAGGTGAGAACACACACACACACACACACACACACACACAGGCAGCATTTGCTTACATCCTTGACTGTGCAGTACAAGGTTATTCAAAACTTCATCTCATGGAGGACAAACTTGTAATAGAATCACACGCACACACACACAGGACGCTGCTGTAACGCAATCTCACACGTGTCTGTTGGACAGCAGAAGTCAACAGTGAGCTGCCAGAAGCTGCTATTAATAATTAACACTGATGAGGAGTGTATGTGTGTGTCCCATAAACCCTGTTCACGTTTCTGCTTTTCTCATCTGTTGGTCATTGCTTTAAATACTCCAAAATTGTCCCCTTTTACTTCCATTGTACGGTGTGCGTCAATGTGACCTTGAAGTTTGCCTTTTTGTGAAGAAAATAAGGAGCTAGTCAAAATCTTTTTTTTGCCACAGATGTGCCATAGATGCTGTCGATTGAATCTTTGACTTGAATTTTTTTTCTTTTTTTCGAAAATTTGTTTTAAAACTTATTTTTTCTTAAATATAAAACTAAGGTCTCCTCTTGATTAACACTGACATAATTATTACCATTCAAAATGTAACAGACAATATGCAGCCATTTTGCAGGTTTCTTTTCTTGCATCTCCATTAAACATATTTTTGCAACCAACAATTTAAAAATAGTGCAGATCGATAAATGATCTCAAACGATCTTTCACCCTCCATTATCTTCTGATCTTCATTGTCTCTAGGAGGGAAATTCTGTTAAATCTCATGTTCTGTTTAAACAAATATGCATTGTGTATTGTCCAAGGAAGAACAGAAAATTTCCAGTGCTAGTATTAATATTTAATACAAACTCACTTTCCTGAAGGCTCACTGTATTTAATTTCATTTTTACTCTCAGTCTCTTAAGATAATCTTCCTTTTATGTCAGAAGTACTGAAAAGAAAAAAATTATGGCTGTCAATTTAGATTGATTAATTCTAAAAATTTATAAATTACATTAAATAAATTATATATATATAATTTGGTCAAATGATATTTATATAATTTGACCATGCATTTTCCTACAATCAAATTCAAAATAAATATTCATGTCAAAAAATGTGAAAATTCACTTGCATTGGTTTTTAACTCTCTTCTCATTTTAATATTTTTCTTTTCTTCTTTGTCTCAGATCCTTCTCTCCCTTTATCTCTTTTTGTCTCATTTGTCTTAGGTGCTTCAACTCGGCTCTGACATTCTTCCGCAGTATAAGCAGGAAGCCCCTAAGACCCCGCCTCACATCATCTTACACTACTGCATATTTAAGACCACCTGGGACTGGGTCATCCTCATCCTGACCTTCTACACCGCCATCATGGTTCCTTACAATGTTTCCTTCAAGACCAAACAGAATAACGTCACGTGGCTGGTTCTGGACAGCGTTGTGGACGTCATATTCCTTGTGGACATCGTGCTTAACTTCCACACCACGTTTGTCGGGCCAGGAGGGGAGGTGATCTCGGATCCGAAGCTGATCAGAATGAACTACCTGAAGACCTGGTTCGTAATAGACCTGCTGTCCTGTCTGCCCTATGACATCATCAACGCTTTCGAAAACGTGGATGAGGTGAGATACCGTAAAGCCGCTGCTTTGTTTCTTTGTACTGGATTAGGACACAGTGTAAAGGAAATGGTTCTTCATTTGTGGCCCTATGAAGTGGCAACACTTGGAAAATGGGTTCATATTAAAATGAAATATTAATTGTTCTTATATTCTGAAAATGTTCGACACTTTATTGTTCTAAGAGAAGCTGTAGTTGGCTTTTTCAAGTAACTCAGCAGTGCTTCAAACACTTAATTTTTTTTTACCTGTCAACCCCTCAAAAATGAAAGATTGAACAGTTATTACCTAAGTCAGGACTCCTCAGAGGTACTCTTCTGAGGATAATGCTTTAGGGTTCTTGGTCAAATTCATTTAAACTTTTGAAGAGCTTGATAGTTTTGGGACAGAAAAACAGAAAGCTGAACTGGCAGCAATAGAAACTTCAGTGAAAGGTAGTGTCACATACAAATGGAACAGACTTTTCACTGACGGCATAAATCTGTTCTATTTTAGTGCTTATTTTGGCCAAAACCCATCATACTTGTGAATTTTAAGTTTATGAGCTATGAAGCACCTCAAATGAAATACCACTACATTGCCAATAAGTTCTAACAATTGAGTTTTTTCCCCAGAAGCTCTTATTTTATCAACTCTGTACCTGGAAAAAAACATACTTCACTTCCACTCCTATTCACAAAAGTTGTAGTGTCATTGTGGTTCTTATCATTTATGTGTGTAGTATTCACAAGCCAGTCAGTGAAGGCACTATGTGTGGTCTGTGGCTGTGCCTTTTGAGACTGATAATAATAAAAAGAAGCCCACTGTATTGATTGGCCAAATACTCAGCCAATCATGTGTGATGATTTGTACAGTTCTTCCTCTTGAAAACTGAACCATTTACAAAGTCATATTGTCCTTTGCATCCTCTCTTGGTTTATGTTATGTATTCTTGGAGTCTCTCCAGGTTATGTGCTTTAGGGTAGATATTGATTGGCGCGCATACAGTGGATCATCTTCTCTCTTTCACTCAGGAAGTCTGAGTGCAATGAGCTGAGCCCCAGACACACACCTGTAAACACGGTTTCATTGAACACCAGCACGCTTTCAGTTATATTCTTTTTATCTTCCTGACTGTTCTGGAATTTATATTATGAAAAGTACATTTACAGCTTTTAAGCTTATTTTCAAGTAAAAATGTCTGTACATCTTGAAAACAAGATACATTTACATTTTGGCAAATTCTGAAAAGAGTTTTCAGTATACCTTGATTTATTTTATTCCACCTATTTTGGCAAATAGTATTTTCTTGTTCATTTAGTGTTTTATTTAGTTAGGTCTGTAAAGAAAAAAAACATTTGACTAATTATGAACAGTTTTAAATTCATTGCTCTCAGCAATGCAGCTCTCAGTAAAATTCCATGCAATAAAATGCACAAAATATATACTGTTTAGTAAGCTCATAGTACAATCCACAAACACATACAGGTCATTTTATGTGTAATTTAATGCTCAAATAATTGCACTGCATTTGTGCTCTGCATCAAAAATCCACTTGAATGGAGCACACTCATAGTATGAATTGATGCCGTTTGTGATGTTCATTTCAAACCCAGAGGGTAAAAAACTGTCAAAAAATCTCTCAATTAATTACATAGTTTTTTTAATAATGCACGCTGTCATTGTCTTCCATCATGCACAATGCATAATTGTTAATGGCTCTTTAAAGTCGGCGTGTGCCAAGAGCTCACAACTCACTTTATACATGATGTAAGTTTAATGTACAAGTTTTACCTCAGAGAGCTGCTCACTGTACCAGAAACCCTCTGAGAAAGCCTTTATGTCATGATGTAAGAGGGATCCCAGATGCCTTGGTGTGAACCTTGTAATCTACTGTCCCTGTAGTGGTGCTCTGCTCTGAGAGATCAGTAGCTATAGAATGGACCTGCCCCAGCAGTAGAATTGGACTGTCCCAGAAGCATCTATTGTATTTCAAGAGCTGGAGAATGAATGTGAGTCAAGCACGCAGAATTTAATGCTTTACACTTTGGACTTGGAGTGTTTTAATTTTCTTCCTCAAGTCCACTTAATCAAGGTTTCTCGTTCAAGAAATGTAATTAACATAATTATCTTAATTAACCCTCTGATGCATCGTCAACTACTGTGGTTGTATCTTTAAAAGCCACTTTTAGCCATTAAGGGTGTGATGTTACATCCAAACCACCATAGGTAATTGATTATCTTGACCCTTTCTTATAATTTGGTATGACTGTCCTCTTTATTTGTCATTACAGTTTTCATTTATGACAACAAATTCAATATAACTTAAGAAAGTGGTGATGCCTCAAGCAGCTCAGCTGGAATATTAACCATTATCTTCTTTTGCAATCATTAGATGAATAACACTCTTAAACCAACATTTTAAAAAAGAAAGAAAAGAAAGAAGACACGCACATGAATACTAATTAATTCCCTCATTTTAATTGAATAAAAACAAGGGAACAAATTAGTACAACGTAGCCACAATTTAAAGGGGGTGGTTCAGTGTTTTTTTTTCTAGGCTTGATTGTGTTTATGGGGTGCAGTCTAACGTGTTAATGCTTAGTTTAAAAAAAAAACGCATTATTTTTCACATAATTTACCTTTATTCCACACCGCTCTGTCCCGTCTCTGGGAAACACGCTGATCATTTCCTTCTTTTATGAAGCCCCTCCCTCAGAAATAGGCGATGGGCTCTGATTGGTCAGCTAGCCCAGTGTGTTGCGCTAAACCGCCTCTAGAAGACAGAATCGCGATTCGTATATGAATAGATTTTTATGTGCACCTCTAGTTTTCTCTTCCTCTTCTCTAAAGCAGCACAGGCCTCGCCCCCTTTGCTGCCTTTTCCCGAGGGTGGGGTTTATCTAGGTTTGTGATGTCACAAACGCAGGAAGTAACTTCTTGTAGTCCCTACCAGCCGTTTTTGTAGGCATTAAACTGCCAGAATTTTAAAAGACG